TTCTCAAACTACTACCCAGTTGTGTCTTCCCTCCATACCACCATACATAGGGTGGAGGAAGAGTGGAAGGAGGCCAAACAAAACCCACATTATTATTATTTTTTTTTATTATTTTATAGAGGATGGAGAGTGTCCATCAACCCTCTCTGGGTGAGAGACAATCATTAATTTCTTACTACATGTCTGGGTCTCAACACTTAGTGAAAAGTAATGTAATATAATCTTCACACAGAAAGAGTTTACCCCAATAGTCTGAGAATTTTGGTCTTCAGTTTTGCAACTAGGTTCTTAAAGGACCACTATAGTGCCAGGAAAACATACTTGTTTTCCTGGCACTATAGGGTCTCTAGGTCCCCCCCACCCTCAGGGCCCCCCTCCCGCCGGGCTCTAAAATCTTATCTGTTTTCCTCCCTCGGCGCAGGTAACTCTCCACCTCCTTTTCGCCGTCATTGGCTGAAACTGCTATGTTTACAGCAGAAAGGGTTAATCCTAGATGGACCTGGCACCCAGACAACTTCATTAAGCTGAAGTGATCTGGGTGCCTATAGTGGTCCTTTAAGCATTTGTAAGTAATTAACAGGAGATCAACTACAATAATAAATAATCTACTGAGAAAAATTGGCTTCAAAACGTCAACAAAGTTGTTTAAAAAAATAATTAATAAATAAATAATCCCCATAAATTCACAAAAACAAACAACCTACTTCGGAGAGCAAACAATGGGTCGCAAGAGCATTCTGAGAACGGACAGCAGCTAAAATAGCCTGCCCTTCGGTGGGTCCCCGCTCAGAACTCATGCTGGTTTTAGCTCAACTTGTGCCATTACAGAGAGAACATATCTGAAGCATATCAGACTGGTCCCACCCATACGGGCAGTCCAGACCCGAAATGCCAGCAAGTTCTCTCTGCACGAGAGATACAGCAACCCCAGACGATCGTTTCAGCCTTGTTAGGCATCGTCAGTGAGGCATAGCTGATATCTCTCTAGGCACCGTGAGCAAGGGATCCACGTCTGGATTACCCTTCAAACTAATGGAGAGCAAAAAATGGGTCGCAAGAGTATTCTGAGGATGGACAGCAGCTAAAATAGCCTGCCCTTCGGTGGGTCCCCGCTCAGAACTCAAGCTGGTTTTAGCTCAACTTGTGCCATTACAGAGAGAACATATCTGAAGTATATCAGACTGGTCCCACCCATACGGGCAGTCCAGATCCGAAATGCCAGCAAGTTCTCTCTGCACGAGAGATACAGCAACCCCAGACGATCGTTTCAGCCTTGTTAGGCATCGTCAGTGAGGCATAGCTAATATCTCTCTAGGCACCGTGAGCAAGGGGTCCACGTCTGGATTACCCTTTAGACTAATGGAGAGCAAACAATGGGTCGCAAGAGCATTCTGAGAACGG